ACTATCAACGCAAGGCAACCAACTAGTCCTGATTGCCGGTTCAGAATCATGCTCCTACGGACTCACCGACGGCGACGACCTGCTCATGAGCAACTGGAACGGCACGATCCTCGGCCCACCACACGTACGTACGTCCCTGCCTACCACGAATGGAAATTTCTCAGACGGAGAGCTTGAGTGTAGGGTGCATATTGTATCAGGGTGGGGGCTGACGGGGCACTTGTGCTAGAGCGTCCATGAGAACCGCATCTATGGGTTGACTATGCACTGTGGACCCGACTACCCAGACAAGCCGCCCACCATCCAGTTCACCAACCAGATCAACCTGCCATGCGTGAGCACTCGCGATGGCAAGGTCGACCCGGCGAAGCTGCCTTGCCTGGCCACGTGGGACCGCAAGATGACTATGGAGACCGTGTTGATTGAGTTGCGGAGGTAGGCCGGTTCATTTGCTCTGGAAATGCTATGAGGCATGAGGCTGACTAGATCTCTGGGTAGATTCATGGCTCATCCAGCAAACAAGAAACTCCCACAACCGGCTGAGGGCTCTACATACTAGAGGGCGAAAATGGCGAGACAAGCATTGCTCTTGGGACAGCAGGTTGGGCCCACATGGACGCTTAACGAGTGAATGAATTGAAGGACAGCCACTTATGAAGGGACGAGGGGATTATAAAAAGCTGGCTTCGTTGAGTTTCGGGGTGCATCAGCGCGGCGAACTAGGAAAGTCTTTGGCGCGATGTGGGTTTGCGACTGTGAGACTTGACACGACCAGGCAAATAGCTAGGTGGGCTGTGCAATGATACCGATGACCTTATCACAGACTTCATTTCTATGTGGAGTATGGATGTTCGTCCTTTTGTTAGTGTACAGGGTATCTCCCATCAATCAAAATGCAGAAGCAGACAACTTTCTTCCCTTATGCTACGTACTCAGCCCTTTTTCACTTTCCTTTCTCACAGACTGATTAGCCTTCCTACGAGCTCGACTGGCCCTCCTCCTTGCTACCCTCTCCTTCGCCCACAACTCCTTCTCCCTAGCCACAATCCCAATCAACTTCGTCGCTAGCTGCTCTGCCCTCTGACGCTCTCTATCAACACTCCTCAGCACCAGAACCCTCTGCCTCTCGCTCTCGTCCCTCCACTCGCCCCCGTCATCCCAGCCCTGTTCTATCAACTCTGTCACACCCTCCACACCCTTCTCCCTCTCCACCTCGCGCAGCACAACATCCTCCCACTCGCCCTCCGCATCCCCCATCTCCATCTCCAGCTCCAGCTGATCCGCCCTCGTCATCCGGCGCTGCTTCTGCTTCACCTTGCGCGTCAAGACGCGCGACAGGTACGGCGACTGCCTCTTCTTGAAACGCAGGAAGGGGAGGAACGTCGCGACCGTGAGCGTCGGCACATACCGCACCCTGCTGATCTTCTCCGCGGGCAGCGGCCGGATCTCCACGACGGGGCGCGCGCCGGGGTAGGCGCGCAGGCCGGCTCGGTGCGCGGCGATGTCCTTGGGGGGCGGCTGCGTGCACGCGCGTCTGGCGGCGAGGGTTTGGGCGTGGCGGGAGCGCAGGTGCTCGTGGATCTGGCCGAGGGCCAGCTGGTTGCCGGTGCTGGCTGCGTGGATGAGCTCTTCGGCCTGTGGGAGTACCAACCAGCAGAGTTTAGGTTAGCCGTGGGCCCGGAGCAGTAAAAATGTATGGGGGGTGGATGGATGGATGGATTGGGCAAAAAAGGGGCTGGCATACGGCATATCCAGCTTTGAGCAGAGGCACGATCAGCCTCGGACTCGCATGGTGTGCATTCTGCCGGAACTTCTTGCGTAGCAGATGCTTGAGCGGATGGACCGGTCCGCGAGAGGGGAGGTCAGCGGGCAGAGGGATGCGTAGGCATTGCTCGAGGAGGGATCGGTACAATGCGATGCCTGAGAATACCATTAGTGAAGGGTAGGCATAGAAAGGTGAGATATTGATAGAGGGCTTACATGCAATTCGGTGCGGGCCCGACCTACGGGGGTAGTATTGGCCTGGGGCTGGCATTCATCTGTTGTGTCGAGTACCGCACCGCACGAGATATATGGAGGGAGATAGATCGCGGTACCTCTGCTTCTGGGCTGGAGCCAAAAACTCCAAGGACCGAGGCTTGGAAATCTGCTAAGTCTTGGCGTTGATGAGCTTGTCATCACGTGCGGCCCTTTTTCAAAGCGATCTGGATACGGAGCCCGCTTAGCCACGTCCATTATTGTTGCTAGAATGCTAGAACAGTGGCCGAACGCTTTTTTACGATCTGGTTCAGTAGCGTTCCATTTTTCGGTTAATGGATCAACGGCTACTATTGGGATGGCCTTTTCCCTTCTATACGGAGTAGTAACCTTCTCCAGTCGAAGGATAGTAGCTGGTGAATAGCTGGCTCAAGCATCAGCTTTGCCCTAATTGGGCTTAGCTTGATGCTCAAATAATCAGGCCAAAGAACTTCTACAACCTTCGTCAATAACAGCTACCTACAGCTTCTACAGCTTTGGTCGAGCTGTATCGTAGAAGTTTCAAGAGACCATTTTCAGTGTATTCGTTCACGTACTCTAACATGCGGTTGAAGATTAAGGTTGCTAAGATATGTGCATTAACCCGCTACTCCGTGCGCTTTTAGCTATCCTTCGGCTCCAAGAGGTCATTAAAACCTCTACCCCAAGATTGACGGAACCTTTTTTTTCCAGAATCCCGTATGCTTGTATGTAACGGCCCGAATTCGTGATTCTTTCCGGGCTGTTGCTCAATATGAAGAAAAGAACCTCGCATGCGGCATCTCTATATATTTGTAGGTTTTTGTTTTCGTCCTTCTGGATATTCGGATCGATCCCTAGCAAGGCGCCGCCTGATACCATCAGCATGAGCTCGGAAATCTGTAAACGAGAGTCCCCAAAACGACCTGTGAATAGGAACTTTGGAAACTTACTTCTCTTGCTAATCAGGTATCCAAGTCTGTCCTCTGGGATATTCGGGTTGGTCCCTAGTAGAGCTTCGCCTGAAATCGTCAGCATCAGTTTGGAATCTTATAAATGAGAGTCCCCAGAACAACCCATCACCAGGTCCCTCGGAAACTCACCTCTCTTCCTAATCAGGTATCCAGTCTCATCCTCGTGTATATCCGAGTCAATCCCGAGCAAGGCGTCGTCTGATCATCAGCAAGAATTCACAAAAAAAAAATCAAGAAGCGAGAGTCCCCAGAACAACCTGGTAACTAGGCGCTTAGTGGAAACTCACTGTTCTTCCTCCTCAGGTATTCCAACTCCGACCTATCTTGCGAAATACGCGGCGGGAGATCGAGAGAGTATCCCTTAAGCCACAGAAGAACCTCTGGATCTTCCTCTATCTCTATCTCTCTTCAACCTCCGAGGGGCATCCTCCGAGTATTTGCGCGACTGCGCGAACTTTCTGAGCTACGGTCGAGATGAGCCTGGATCGGCTGCTAGTCATAGACTGAATGCTCTCAGATGGGCCGCTGAGATACAAGTGTATCGATAAAAAAAGTGACTTGCGATGGGCAGATAATCTGCATAAGAAGTTGAGGCATTTGGCTGATGATGATTTGATCTTGGGAGCCGAAGCGGATGTTTCGCCTGCGGGTGCCTCCAATGGGCACATCTCGTTGAAGAGGAAAGTGCGGGATCCGTATGTATTCTTGGAGCAGGGGAGGTACGATGTGAAGGCCATGATTCTGGGCTGGGTATTATATATATATGTTTTTTTTTTCGTAATTAAAAGCAAAGCTTACTTGGTTCGATGTAGTTAAAGAAATTTAACGGGATTATTTAGAGAACTTGGATGGGATATGGAGCTCTTATACTATGTCGCCATCAGAAAACTAACGGCCCTGCGAGCCAGACTATATTTAGTTTCTCTGTAGCGCTTTACACTATAACTGCTCTCAGGGCTAAAAAGTGATGAAGCGAGAAGAAAACCGGGAGCTTGCCATGAAAAGGGGAAGGCTCGCTTAGAAACCGCCGTCGACAGCTACGGCAGTGGCCGCGTGGAAATCGAATATCCGAAAGCCTGGGTTTCGACCCCAACGAACTCCCTCATTCAGAATTCCTATATCGTCCAGACTTAGTCGAACTATTCAAGGTACGTCGGAGATGCAAAGCTTACCATCAGTCAGGGCCTTGGTATTTGACGGTCACAAAACGCTTCTCGCGAAGTGATACTTCGTCATGATCCCTCTCGTAAAATGTACCATATTTCGCGGGAGAGTATGGACCCGATTTTGGGTCCAGAATGCTGAGCTCGAAAGCGCCGTGAGGGCACACTGGCTCTGATGTTTTCCTTCTGGGCGGGCTTTCTAGTGTTTTCTGGGTCGGCGTGGCTGCAGTACTAGGTAACTGCTAATGCATAAAACCACTTTTCGCGCCAGAAATAAGGGTCAACACTTCGAAAAAAATCAACATTAGCCTGAGTTTAGTAATTCTATCTTCGGGGAGGTAGTTAATCTAAGCCGTCAATCTCAAATCTGACTATTTAATAGACCTACATGCAAACGATGAAGCTGAAGTCGCTCTTTTTTTAATTGGACTTCTTTTAAACTTAAGCGAAAGCCAACTTTCTATCTTTCTGCTTTAATCAACTGGAATCAATCATAATATAAAATTGAATCGTCCTACGTAGAGTCATAAGTTATTTCTTGTTGTTAGAAGGTTTATGATTTTAATCTACCTTTTAAATCTTATGGTTATAGAAAGTTCAAGCTGTCAAGTGTAAAGAGTTTTGGTGCGAAATAAAATTCTACGCATTAGCAGTTAGAAATGACGGTACGCTACTATTGCTTCTAGGGCCCTTGGCCAAAACAGACACGTCTATTCCAGCAGCGACGTAGTCCGCCGCTGACGGGATTTCAAGTCTACGACCTCGAGAATGTCCTTTAACATCGTTCGAGTCAAAGAAGACTTCCTCAAAATCAGGCAGGATACATCGCATGCCATCTTGTATGAGATCTTGCGCCTCCACAGCTGCAGGCGGGAATGGTCCCATAGAGTATCCGGTCCTGAACTTGGGACGTATAGAGTCATTGGTGGGGTCTCCGTCAGGGTAGAATGTGCCAGAACTTCCAATATGCACTAATGGATTGCGCCAGTGATCGAGAGCATCTGTGGATGTTCTACTGATGGCGCGTGTGAGTCTCGCTCCGAGATTCTCTCGCGTCTCGTACATCAGAGTCACGGCCACAGAGGTTGGAAGCGTTGGCTTTAACTGAGAGAGGAAGCTCGAAAATAGTCCTCGGTTAACGGGCTTTCAATACGATATTGCTGGAAATCCATCAGATCGTCGAATGGAAATCCTTGGCTGAGATGAGCACCGTCACTCCAAGCTAGGAAGAACTAAATTTTTGGCCATGGCAGATGAGTACGTACTCGCATTTTCCTCTGTAGGCTGTGTAATTACTTGCAGATCATCTCGACTTCTATGATCATAGCTGAGAAAATCCCAGGGCATATATATCCACCATAAGGATTGTCTGCCCAACCACCTAGTGTTCTTTTTCTGGTCGTTCACTCGGAGACTTTCTCGATCCTCTCAGCCGACGATCAGACATCGAATTCACACGCTTTTGGGGTCCCTCACTGTTTTCATCATGACTATCCTCGTATGAAGAAGAAGCTTTCGCTGAAGGGAGAAACCGTCCCGTCGTCAACTGATGCTGTTGCCCAAACTCTGGTTCTCGCTGCAACAGCCCCTTGCCAACATTGAAGTCATACAGACCAATGAAGATATTGCACATCTCTTCATTGGTGCCTTTCAGTTCCTGCACTTGTTTTTCTAGCGAAGTGATGGTAGTCTCCTACCGAGACCGATACGCTCTTTGAACCATCTGGATCTAAGTTCTTCTCCTCTACTCAACATTAACATTCGGCTCCAGTAGGGGCGAATAGTAGAAAGACTGAGTATCAACCCTCGGTCTACCTCTCGTCTTCGTCCCCGCCTCCTCCTGCGCGCCCACCACCTCCTCCGCCTATCCCCTCTTGTTCCTCCTCCTCCCTACACTTACCCTCCTATTACCACTCACAATTCCACTTCCACCCTTATACCCATTCCCGTTCTTCACACTCCCTATCGTCTCAGCAGCACGCTCCATTCCAAACGGCATCACACTCACCCGACCCCCCCTCTCCGCTCTATTCCTCAAACCCACAGAACCCGAACGGCAACCACCCCATCCACCATCATACCTCTCCGCATCCAAAATCCCCAACCCGCTCTACCACCCCTTCGAAACCAGCCCGCTAGATCCAGCCCCTTGGACCTGGTAGCCCACACCCACGAAAAATACGGGCTCCTCTGGCTGGCCGCAGCGAGCGAGTATCCGAGCATCTCCATCTCGCCGGCGCTCAGAGTCCCAAAACAAGCCATCCGAGTCCTCTGATTTGAGAGATTCCGATGATCAATCATCACCCATCGACAACGAGTCCTCGGCAGTATTAACATCGTTGTTGTTGTCGATGTTATGAACGTCGAGATCAGTAATCACACCTCGGTCGTCCCTCCATGAAAATCTCCGGCGTGTGTCTACCAACGACAACCTCCTCCCTCTTTCGCGACGCATTAGTATGGGTCTGTCGAGCTCGATCTCGTCCAGCCCGGAACAGGATATAGTACCTCGGATCGCTCAAGGCGTATTCGTCACGATTCACCGAGGAATAGCTCTCCATACATGTCGATATTAGAAGCTAACTTTCCTTCCGGAACATGACGATCTCTCCGAGCCACGTTGGAAAAACCCGGCAGGTAGCTGGCCCTCCTTACATCCATCTGTCGTCCGGTGTAGGGTTACAATACTAGAAACAGCAATGTGCATCGCGGGTCTGCTTCTGCACAATCCCATCCAACACGTAAAATCCGTACGCCGGATCTCGTCCCGCGAGCACTGCTCAGCAGCCGCAGCAGAGCATGTACGCCGCGCGCCTCCAGGTAAAGCCTGCTCGTAAAGAAGAGAAAGTAGGAAGAAAGCCCTCAACGAGAAGCACGCGAACGACATTGGTACTGTAAGCGCGACTCTACCCTCTTTGGGAAAATGCAAAAGGAATTTACGTCTTACGTGCCTCACTACCTTGCCGTGTCTGTAAAATAAAATGCCGAGCTACGAGAGACGAAGAAGGATGAGAGCTTCTTACGGATCAGTAACCAGGCCAGACAGGTACCTCGCAAGCGAGGCCGGAAAAGAGACCTATATCGTATCAAAATTCACAGAGAAGAAAAGGAGATGCATTGCGCTGATCTGCAGATCTCCCAACTCGCCTTGCCCGCATGTGATATTTTGCTCTGGATTAAATATAATGAATATACTGGAACGACACCCCCGTGATGTGTAACCTACCTATTCAACCCCGTATCTAGCAGTAGGGAAAGTTATATATTGGAAAAACACTCTGATATCATTCATATCATTCCAATCTATCTATCTATCTATCTATATATCCATACAAACGTCATCCAAAAAAAAGGAGAGACACTTTAATATCCATCATCATCCCATCCAGCAGTACCCGTATCCATCCATACAAAAACAACATCATCCAACCCCAAAAACCCAACCCGTACTCTAGGATGTGTCATCTCAACCTGCGGATAGGTACCTACTCTACCTATCCAGCTTACTACCTAGTGTGTCTTCAGCTCGAGAGTAGATTTTATGCCCCCTAGCCCCTGACCCGACATACTAAGTACAGTACTACATACATACATACATACATACATACATACATACATACAGTAGTATGAGCCTTACCAACCCCCTCAAAACAGCAGCTACCAGCCGCGCCCAGTTCCCCAAGATTGCCGTACCTACCGGTACCGGGATCGCATCTTCTCCAACCATCCCGTACCCATCCGTCTCCGTCGGCGCTAGATACGGTAGGTATACCGGTCTTCGAATACCCCAAGTAGAGATCATCTATCTATCTTTTTTTTTTTTAAACTTTGGCACCAAGAATAGTCTTTCATTCTCAATATATATATAAATATATAAATATAGAAATATAGAAATATAGAAATATAGAAATATAGAAA